AAAGTAGACTTCCAGGGAAGATGGTGGAGCAGGAGAACCTAAGCTCACCTGTCCCACAAATACAACTAGATAATATTCACATCAGTGTAAGTAACCCAGAAAATTACCTTAAGACTGTCAGAACAACTCTCCACAGCTAAATAAAGGGAAGAGGCACCATCAAAGAAGGCAGGAAGGGTGGAGATATGGTCAGGAACTAAACAGACTCAAGGGACCATATTTGGGAGGGAAGGGTGCTGCTGGCACAGAGAGGGGAGAGAAACAGATTTTCTCACTGGGGAGCCCAGTGAAATGAATCCCCAGAACATTGGCTTTGAAAACCAGAGTGGGGGATCCCTGGGTGGCTCAGTGGTTGGGCGCCTGCCTTCAGCCCAGGCCGTGATCCTGAAGTCCCGGGATCGAGTCCCACGTTGGGCTCCCTGCATGGAGCCTGCTTCTCCCTCTGCCTGTGTCTCTGCTTCTCTCTCTCTCTCTGTAGCTCTCATGAATAAATAAATAAAATCTTTAGAAAAAAAAAAAAGAAAGAAAACCAGAGGGGTTGAGATTCATGAGTTCTTACAATAAGTGGGACTCAAATCCTGGAACTTTAAAAATCAGCAGGTTCAGCTCTGGGAGAGCTAGGAGGTTGAGAGGAAACTGAGCCACCCCACAAAAAGCACAAAAAAGCCCCACAGAAGTACAACACAGAAACGGCAGTTTGAAAAACTCCAGGGGGATATGGGAGGGACATTTGTTTACTAATCTCAGAGCGTGTACTAGAGGGGCAGGGATCCTTAGAAGAACTTCTCCAGGATTAGCAATATCCAGTATAGTGCCTACCTAACTTGCTAACAGTATGTCCTGCTCCTTAAATTCCTCTGTGGACACACCCCTTCCATCCAGGCCTCAGCTCTAGGTTTCCTTACACAGCGGAACTTGCTTACAGCATACATCCTGTACGGCCCCCACCTGCTCTGGTGGATTTGGCCCCTGCTCAGGGCATAATCCTGGAGTCCTGGGATGGAGTCCCACATCGGGCTCCCTGCATGGAGCCTGCTTCTCTCTCTGCCTGTGTCTCTGTCTCTGTGTGTGTCCCTCATGAATAAATAAAATCTTTTAAAAAAATAAGAAAAGTGTTTGATGAAACTTAACACCAATTTATGACACTCTTAGCAGGCTAGGAATAAAAGGAAATTCCCCTTCAATAAGAAGAGTATTTACAAAAATACCTACACCAAATTATCATACTTACTCATGTATTACTGAATCTATACCTCTAAGGCGAAAATGGCACAAAGATAACTTTCACATATCTAGTTAACATTATACTCTGTTTAGCAATCAAAATTAGGCAAGAAAAAAGGGGGCATGAGGATTTAAAATGAAGAAAACTTTTCATTTGCAGATAATATATTTGTAAACATAATTTAATTCAATGTCAAAATCTCAGCAGTTTTAATTGTGGAAATAGAATAATTCTAAGATTTATAAGGAAATAGAAATAGCTACACATGGCTTAGGAAATGATAAAGAACAAAGATGGAGGATTCATTTATATTATCAGATCAAGATTTATTATAATATAGATATGGTAAGTGAGATAGAGTGGGATTGACCCTGGAAATCAAAACAACGGAAAAGGGCATAAAGCCAGAAATACATATATTAACATGAATAGTTCTGAAAACACAATGTGGAGTAAAAAAAAGGTGAGTTGCAGGACTGTAGGTCCATTAGGTTCCCTGTTATTTAAAAATCTAAAACAAAGAGCAACATTCGGTAGTGTTCACATATACAAATTTATGCAGTAAAAATATAAACACATAAACTCTATGGATATAGATGATATTTATGAAAGTGACTGCCTCTGGGACAAAGTATAATATTCTAATTATTTTGTTGAAAAAATCCTGAGGCAAAAATGACAAAATATTAAAACATGCTAATTCAGGGAGCTGGGTATGTTGGCTGCTTATTCTACTTCTCCCTCCCTCTTCCTAGATTTTAAAATAATGAAGAAAAGAAAAAAAAAAGACAGAAGAAGCAGCAGCTCTTTGTTAGTTCCACTATCTGGGCTTTTTCTAACTCACTGACTTGAATTTTATTCTTACCAATTCCTTTTAAAATTTTCTCATTTTGTTTCTAATTACTAGAACTGTGTTATTTTGTTCATTTACTTTATGTTTATTAACATTTTTTCAGCCTAAAGGTTTTCTTTTGTGCATTATTTTATTTTTAAGATGTTCTATAACATAAATTTTTATGTCCATATTGATCTGGGTTGCTTATGCTAGTTTAAAAATTCCCATGTGAATGTTTTTCTTTTTGAATTTTTTATTATTAGCTTCATATTTAATTGCATTGTGGAACTATCACATGTATAGTTTCTACTTTAGAAATTTACTGAATTTTATTCATGCCTAATACATGTTGAGTTTTTAGGTTATTTCATATCCAAATAAGGGATAGTAACTGCAGGCTATAAGCTATCTTAATCTATTAGCTCTATCAAATTATTATTGGTAGATACTTTTTTTTTTTTTGTCTAGCTCATCTAGCATGAGCTAAGACAAATCAATGAAAGTTTCCTACTGATATGTGTCTTCTTATTTTCAGTGTTCCTTATAATAACTTTGCTGCAGGTTATTTGATAAGGAAGCAGTCCTAAACCACTCATCTTTATTATCTATTGCACTCACTTTAAAACACTGGTTTTTTGTTTGTTTAAAGCTTATTGTTTTGACTTTTGACCTGATATTAACATATAGACTTTTCCATTATTTATTTATTTATTTATTTATTTATTCATTCATTCATTCATTCATTCATTCATTCATGAAAGACACGCAGAGACATAGGCAGAGGGAGAAGCAGGCTCCATGCAAGGAACCCGATGTGGGACTTGATCCCGGATTCAGGGATCACACCCTGAGCCAAAGGCAGACGCCCAACCACTGAGCCACCCAGGCGTCCCACTATCCTTTCTTTCAAAGTGAAATTTTGGACAACCACTTTGGAAAACTTGTTTGGCAGTATCAATAAAAGGTAACCTATATACATGACCTATAACTCAGCAATTCTACTTTTGGTTTATATACAAAAGAATATGTATATGTGTGCAACAAAAGATATCTATAAGAAAGTTTATAGGAACAATATTTGTAATTGTCCTCAAAATCTACCTAAATGGCAATCAATAATAGAATGGATAAATAAAACTGTAGTTTATTCATATAATTGAATAATATAGAGCAATGAAATTAACCAAACTAGAACTACATGCAATAATTCAACATGAATCTGACAAACACAGTATTAGGCGAAAGAAGCCAGACACAGAGTATATATATTAATATGGTTCAAACTTTGGCAAAAAATAATCTATAGTGATAGAAGCTGAATAGTGGTTATCCCTGGGGTAGGGGTGATGACCTTGGAAAGGTGCAGAAGGAATCTCATGGTTATTAGAGTAATATTCTAATTCCTGATCTATTGCTTTTGCAGGTTACATAGTGTGTTCACTTTGAAAACTGAGTTTGAAGAAAAAACTGGATATATAGAGAAGCTGCCAGATAGGGACACACAAAGAAAAGTATATCTCAATATTTCTCAGGTATAGGCAAGCTATGAGCTGAGGGTGAAAGGGCAGTAAAGTAAGATATGCTAATAGCTAAGAGTGCAGGATAAATCTGAAAGAGAAGGGTTCCAAAGGAAGTATGAAGGCTGAAGTTCTGAGGAAAAGGAATTATCCTTGAAGAGGAGGCAGACATCACTTATTCTAAGAGTAAAATAAAGAACAAGGAACCATGGATTCAATTCATTAAAACCACAAATATTCACAAAAATTATGTATATCAGGCATCAGTAAACCAAATGAAACATATTCTCTGTTCACATTTCAGTGGACTAAAATTATAATAATTTACCAGAAATTACTAGACTGTAGTCCAATCTATACCAACTACCCATTGAAAAATATAATTATGTAGGGTCATTTGAGAGACACACCTCATCTACCTCATCTATTTCTTCAGATATTCTAGTGTTAATTAGAATTATGTATGACACATATACAATAAATGGTAAAATGCACTAACATTTTTTTAAGATTTTATTTTTAAGTAATCTCTGCACCCAATGTTGTCGGACTTGAACTCAAAACTCTGAGATCAAGTGCCACCTGCTCTACTGACTGAGCCAGCCAAGCATCCCTAAAATGCACTAATCTTAGGAGTACAAACTGATGTATTTTTATACATTTATATATTTGTGTAATCAGGTCAAAATAAGAATATTTTCAGCACTCCAAAAGATACTCTCATATCCTAGGTAATATCCTCTTAGGAGTAACTACCATTCTGATATCTATCACAAGAGATTAGTTTTCCCAGCTTTCAAACTGCATATAAATGGAAACATATCTTTTGTTTCTGGCTTCTCTCACTCCAATGTTTGTAAAATTTATTTATATTGTTGTGAGTAACAAGTATCTGCCATTTTTTAAAATTGTTGTGTGGTCTTTCATTGTATGAAAATACTAATTTATCCCTTTTTCTGACAGTCTTCATTTGCATTCTTTTCAATGCTAGCTATTTTAATATACGTTCTTTGTTTTATCCTTTATCAAAACAGACCATCAAAATAGCTGGCTTTATCAACTACAAAAGATCACACTATAAATATATTCATTGACCTAGGTGCCTTGAAAAGCTTGCTTCTCCTAAGAAATGTTCATTTTAATCTTTATTTACAATGCAAATTGTGTAATGAATTTTTGCTCTGGTTTGTTTCACCTATAATAATGAAATTAAAAACTGAAGCCCAACTTTTAATCTCTCTGAATGAATACTCTTCTGCGTTACCGTATTTTAACTCTTCCCTGGTCTTAATCTTCGAACTCTACTTCCTCTGAAAATGCTTCATCTGTATAGGATTTTCCAAACTACTGTATGGATTGCTGTAATCCTTTTGAACTACACTGTAGAATAAAGCAGAGAACAAATATAATGCTTAAAATTTACCTGGGACTCGGTCATTTTCTCTTCTTTCTGGTAATGGGCAGGGCTTGAGAAGGCAGAGCTGGGAAAGAGAAGAAAAGTCCTTAGACCAGTCATGCTTTGTGGTATTAGGAATTTGCATCCATAAGGTGGACTAAAGGCTACCCAATAGTAAAATGATTCTTGGATCCATTAGAAAGGCCAAGAATATTCACATCAGAGGAGCTGACAGGTATAAGGATGACTGGTATGGTCGTGTATGGCTTAGGCATAAGGTGGATAAGAATGGGAGTTCAGGGCAGCCCCGGTGGTGCAGCGGTTTAGTGCCGCCTGCAGCCCAGGGTGTGATCCTGGAGACCCAGGATCGAGTCCCACATCAGGCTTCCGGCATGGAGCCTGCTTCTCCCTCTGCCTCTCTCTTTGCTCTCTCTGAATGAATAAATAAATAAATCTTTTTTTTAAAAAAAAAAGAACATGCGACTCTTGATCTTGGTGTCATGAGTTTGAGCCCCATATTAAAAAAAAAAAAAAAGAATGGGAGTTCATATGTGGGAGATGTCCCATGAATTTTTTAATAGCTCTGTATCAGAAAAAAAAAAGTTAGCAAGGAACAGGAAGATACATAGTTCATGAGAGAACATAACCAAGAAAATTATGAAATTGATAAAACACCTAAGGTATTTTAATGTACTGAGAGATTACCAACTAAATCGGAATTTAACCAAAATGGTAATAAAATTATATTTCAAGAAAGGAGTAATTATCACTCACTTCCTTTCAAGGAGTGAGTGATATGTATCAGAGATATAGGTGGTGGTAAGACAGTTAAATTCTTATTTGCCACAGTAATATATATATATTATATATATAATACATATATATAATATACATATACAAATCTGAAGTGTCAAATAATAGCAAGGTTATAGCAAGATAAATATGTGATTTGGAAAAACTTAAATATAAGAAATAACAAGAGCTGAAAGTGGTTCTCTTTGGGAACAGGAATTAGGGATGGGGGAAAAAAGAAACGGTATTGTTTTTCATATTAAACTAATAGCACCATTTGATTTTTTAAAATAAAATTGATATTCTAGGGCAGCCCTGTGGCTCAGCAGTTTAGAGCCACCTTGGCCCAGGGAGTGATCCTGGAGACCTGGGGTCGAGTCCCACATTGGGCTCCCTGCATGAAGCCTGCTTCTCCCTCCTCCCTCTGCCTGTGTCTCTACCTCTCTGTCTCTCTGTTTCTCATGAATAAATAAATAAAATATTTTTTTTAAAAATTGACATACTATTTTCCCCCAAATAAAATTTAATCAAAAATACCACTGCAATCAATTCAAGCACTACTACAGGGTATAATGAAGACCACAGATGTCCTCCCCCATTCCCATGCACACTCCCTTTCCCAGTTTTAGTTTGATTAAGGAAAATTAATCTATTATTTTATTCAGTAAAATTTTTTTGGTTGCTGTTGGCTTGTAATTTATTTTGTCACTCATTTGCAGGTTTTTTAAAGGATCTTTTATTTTCTTTTAAACTTTTTTTTTTTAAGATTTTATTTATTTATTCATGAGAGACACAGAGAGAAAGAGAGGCAGAGACACAGGCAGAGGGAGAAGCAGGCTCCATGCAGGGAGCCCAAAACTCGATCCTGGGTCTCCAGGATCAGGCCCTGGGCTGAAGGCAGCACTAAACCGCTGAGCCACCTGGGCTGCCCTTTAAAGGATCTTTTAAAACTTTACGACAGATGAATTATAGTAGGAAAGAACAGTGTCCTGGGGGCACAGTGGTCTCTCTGCCACTAATAAGCACTGTGACCCTGGAATCCCACATTCTTAGAACCATTATAATCAACCTTTAAAAGAGGATAGCTGAATAAGAGGGGTGTCTCAGTAGTTCCCCAGCACCAACAGTGCAAAATTCTGTAAAGAAAACTTGATACCTTGTTAAGGATAGAAAACCAGTATAGGGATCCCTGGGTGGCGCAGCGGTTTGGCGCCTGCCTTTGGCCCGGGGCGCGATCCTGGAGACCCGGGATCGAATCCCACATCGAGCTCCCGGTGCATGGAGCCTGCTTCTCCCTCTGCCTATGCCTCTCTCTCTCTCTCTTTCTCTTTCTCTCTCTCTGTGACTATCATAAATAAAAAAAAAAATTTAAAAAAAAAAAGAAAACCGGTATATTCCAAAAGGCCATATGTGGTAGATAATGTTACTAACAACATCCAATGCCCTCATCTTATTTCTTGAAAACTAAACCTTAATTTTTTCACATGACAATATACCTTCTCCCAAGGATGAATCATGATTGGTCTAGCCAAGGAAGGTAATCCTATTCCCCTTTTCCACTTATTCACATTGCCAGCATCTCTTGCAGCTATGAGTTACTTTGTGACACAATACTGGCTAACAGGAGTTAAGATATTTACTAGGGAAGAAGGGTTACAGAAAAATGTATGATATTTTATTTATTTATTTTCTGCATATTATCTCCTACACATAGCAGCCCCTTGGGCCTGGGGGTGCACACAAGCAGATTCTGTTGTCAGTATTTCAGCTGTAGTAGTGGGCAAGAGTCTATGTGGGCACAGATTAAAACAGGAATTATATTAAAAGCAATTGCTTAAGGTGAACTGAAGTCCTCAACTAGCTGAAGAGTGGACACCAAACAAGACTCCCCCTACCTACTCTCTTTCCTCTTTCCCTGAATCATCAAATTTCTCAAGGCAAGAAATAGAAAGTGGGGGAAAAATGACTCCATAATTTCCTTGAGGCACCTAATGATGGGTTTTATCACAAGATTGCTAATGTAGCTCAGTTGGTTAAGCGTGTGACTTCAACTCAGGTCATAATCTCAGGGTCCTGGGACTGAGCCCTCCATTGGGCTCACACTCAGTGGGGAGTCTGCTTGGGATTTTCTCTCTCCGTCTCTGCCCCTCAACCTTCCTCCTCCTTTCCCTCTCCTTTCCGTGCTCATGCTCTGTCTCTCTCTCTCAAATAAATATTTTTTTTTAAAAAAAGATTTACTTATTTATTCATTCATTCATTCATTCATTCATTCATGACAGAGAGAGAAAGAGAGATTTTGAGGCAGAAACACAGGCAGAGACATAGGCAGAGGGAGAAGCAAGCTCCATGCAGGGAGCCCAATGTGGGACTCAATCCCAGGACTCCAGGATCACGCCCTGGGCTGAAGGCAGGCGCTAAACCACTGAGCCACCCAGGGATCCCCCAAAAAAGAATTTCTAATAGCAGCATTGGATGGATGGTTCAACAAAAATGACTTTATATTTTGTTAAGGACTTACAAATGATGAAAATAAACGAGAGCTCTTATTTAAAGAGTTTCTTCCCTGTCACTTTCAATGCAGTTATGTTACACATTTACATAATATTACAGGTAAATAAATTTGTCTCATTGTGCCTTCCATTTTGGGTTCCACCTCCATTCTCACTGATACCTATAAAAAAGTTTGCTAGGAATGTGATTGGTAATGCATTAATCTATAGATCAAATTATTTTTTAATTTTTTTATTCATTTATGATAGTCACACAGAGAGAGAGAGAGAGAGAGGCACAGAGACACAGGCAGAGGGAGAAGTAGGCTCCATGCACCGGGAGCCCGACGTGGGATTCGATCCCGGGTCTCCAGGATCGCGCCCTGGGCCAAAGGCAGGCGCCAAACCGCTGCGCCACCCAGGGATCCCTATAGATCCAATTAAAGAGAAATGAAAACATGAGTCTTCCAATCCATGAAAATAGTATATTTCTCCACTTATTTTTTATTTCTTTCAGTTTTTTTCACTTTCAGCATACAGTACCTATATGTATTCTATGAGATTTCTTAAGTACTTTATTTTGGGGCATGCTAGTAAATTTATTTCAAACTCCACTTGTTCATTTCTGGAATATAAAAATGATTTAACTTTATATACTGATTATGTATCCTACAACCACACTAAATTCATTTAAGAGGCCTAGGAGCTTTTTTATAGATTATTTGAGGTTTTCTATCTAGATAATCATGTTGTCTGCAATAGAAACAGTTTTATTTCTTCCTTTATGATTTGTATGTCCTTGTCTTTCTCTTGCTTCTTTGCACTGGCTAAGACTTTCAATAAAATGCTGAATAATGGTGACAGAGGACATCTTCACTTTGTAGCCAATCTTAGAGGTAAAGCATTATCTCACCACTAAGTATGTTTTTTTTTTTTTTAGATTTTATTTTATTTATTTATTCATGAGAGATACAACAAAGAGAGAGAGGCAGAGACACAGGCAGAGGTTGAGAGGCGGGCTCCATGCAGGGAGCCTGATGTGGGACTTGATCCCAGATCTCTGGGATCATGCCCTGGGCTGAAGGCAGTGCTAAATCACTAAAGCCACCCCGGGCTACCCTTTTGTTCTTTTTAAGATTTTATTTATTTACTCATGAGAAACACAGAAAGAGAGAGGCAGAGACACAGGCAGAGGGAGAAGCAGGCTCCATGCAGGGAGCCCCATGTGGGACTCAATCCTGAGACTCCAGGATCACACCCTGAGCCAAAGGCAGACACTCAACTGCTGAGCCACCCAGGCCTCCCTGTTTTTGTATTTTAATGACCTTTAGTAAAGAACATTCCCTTCTGCTCTTAATTTGCTGAGAATTATTTTTTCATGAGTAAATGTTGAATTTTGTCAAGTGCTTTTTCTGCATCTATCAAGATGATCATACGATTCTTCTTCAGTCTCTTCTGGTGAATTACAGAAAATAATTTTCAAATAACTTAAAATTTATCTTGGGGCGCCTGCATGCCTTAGTTGGTTAAGTGGCCAACTCTTGATTTTAGCTCAGGTCACGTTCTCAGGGTCCTGGGTCTGAGCCCCAAGTTGGGCTCTCCACTTAGTGGGGAGTCTCCTTGAGGATTCTCTCTCCCTCTGCCCCTCCCCGTGCTCTCTCTCTCTAAAATAAATAAACAAATCTTTTAAAAAATTATCTTGTATTTCCAAAATAAGCCCCTTTGGTCATGTTATAGTTATCATTTTTATATTGCTACATTCAATTTTTCTTTTTTTTTTTTAATATATCTTTTTTTTTTCTTT